TAAGTGAAGATACGACATAGAAAACACTCCTTCACTTTGTGCACGTAATAGTTTCTCCATAGATAATTCTAGGGTTAAGTGAAGATACGACATAGAAAACACTCCTTCACTTTGTGCACGTAATAGTTTCTCCATAGATAATTCTAGGGTTAAGTGAAGATACGACATAGAAAACAACAGCATTTCCTCACCTTGTACACATCATAGTTTTCAATAATTGCATCGAAAGTCGTGTACAAGTCGTTTAACAGGTCAACCACCTGAAATACAACCAAATACTCAAAGGAAGTAGTCTCGAAAATGAAATATATACGGCATAAAAGTAAGAAAACTAATTTATTTTTCTGTCACTACGATAGACCAAAAAGATGTGGGTATATTTGACAAAGTTGGGAATTAGTTTTATAATGCCTTTTCTTGGCATATGCTAATATAAATTAAAATTTGCGATTAGTTAATGTATCAATTGTTTGGGGATTCATTAAATCATAATTGTACGTGGGTTAAAAATATTATATCGAATGAAATATGTAAGAATTTTATCTTCAATTTACCAATACTATAATTAGTAATTTATTTCTCTCGTCAATATAACCCTTACAAAGCTTCATAAATTGAAATATTGATGATAAGACAAAAATATATATACGCATACGAGCAAGTACTACTCAACAGTAAATCTGCAGGCTTATGACGCTAAAAGAACATAAATAATTTATTACGAATTTAATTTTATTAAAACAGTTCACATAAGTTTAACGACAAAAACTGTAAAGGTGAATTTTTTTTGGGGGGGGGGAGGGATTTCTTACTGTAATTCTAGTTTAAACTCATGCTTAAATTAGACAAGGTAGAAGATTAATATCCCGAGATTGAGAATGTTTTCCTTACCTCCATAGCCGTACTCTCGGCTGAGAGCGAGGTGAAACCCACAATGTCGCTGAAGTAGATAGTTACACTTTCGAATGTCTCAGGTTTAACTTGATGGCCCGCCTTCAGCTGATCGGCTATGTACCTGATTTTACAAATTATTAGCCATCAGTGAGGTGCTTATTAAATAGGCGAGTTTCTACAGAACTCATGTAAAGAGATTTTTTAACACGATAGATAAAAATTCAAGGGAACTTGTATAAATATTACAAATATATTAAAATACTCAACGATCAACGTTATATAATATGAAACTAAAATTTTTAGCCGCGGCATAGCGGCTAATAGGATGGCTCTGAGGTTGTTTTTCAAGTAAAAACTTTTATCTCATAGCTACATCTCTTGGCTGATTTGAGATCTCATTACAGCCGCGGTTATTGAAGATTCCCTCCTGTTTATTTTTTTAAACCTTCAACGGTCGTAAAATAAAGGCACTCTACTTCTTTCGACGTCGTTCACTTCTGAGAATGCCGTGAAACCATGTTGAAACACGTAGCGCTTTTTTTTACGACCGTTGATCACTTTTTTAATAAAAAATTTAGTTGCATAATGATTATTTTTATATGTTTTTTAACATTTTGCAAGCCTGTAGCCAGGACATGGCCTTTTTGCTTCTATTAGCAAGTAAGCATGATGAGACACGTGGTTTTATGCAAGTGCATATCATATTATTAACGTATCAAAAAACAAAAGTATGAAACTAATTTGGATGAGGTATCAAGTCATTCTTTAAAACAAACAAACAAACAGTCATTTTAGTGTTTTAATTATTTCGATAGAGTATGTCTTTAAGCTCTATGGGATTCTCAGTATTAAGTAATATCATTATTATTTATAACACGTGATAATTAGAAATAATATTTAATTGGTGAAACTTATTCTAATTTCACATTAGGCTTAGTAAGTGAAAAAACTGGATGACTCCTTGACCCCCTCCCCCAAACTACGGGGCTACGTTGTAATTTGATTTAGTTTATTATTTTGAAGTCACAAAATGTTACTGTTTATTCGAAAACAAGAACGACAAAAATAAAGAAACATGTTTTGAGTTTTCCAATTATCTTACACAATGTGAAGTCACAAAATGTTGCTGTTTATTCGAAAACAAGAACGACAAAAATAAAGAAACATGTTTTGAGTTTTCCGATTATCTTATACAATGGTACAAATCAATATCCATAGTTTAAATAAACACAGCTTTAACATTCTGCTTATCGATTCTACTGAAAATACCAAACTTTATTTAAATTCTATTTTGTCTTAACATTTTGCTAATTGGTACTTTCCTCTAACAAATATGACATTGTGGGACATGGAAAAAGGAAAAGGAAAAAGATCGAGATAGAATCAAAATACGTTAATGTGTTCCTAACATGAATTATCTTTCTACTCGAAGAAACTACCGTGTTTGTCCCTAGAATTCTCTTTAAATCTGAAACCAGGAGCTGAATACATTAGCGTGTTCCTACCATGAACACTCTTTGGACCTGAAACCAGGAATGGAATACATTAGAGCGTTCCTACCACGAGCTCTCTTTGGACCTGAAACCGGGAACTGAATACATTAGAGTGTCCCTACCATGAGCTCTCTTTGGACCTGAAACCAGGAACTGAATACATTAGAGTGTCCCTACCATGAGCTCTCTTTGGACCTGAAACCAGGAACTGAATACATTAGAGTGTCCCTACCATGAGCTCTCTTTGGACCTGAAACCAGGAACTGAATACATTAGAGTGTTCCCACCATAAGCTCTCTTTGGACCTGAAACCAGGAATTGAATACATCAGTGTTCCTACCATGAGCACTCTTTGGACCTGAAACCAGAAACTGAATACATTAATTTGTTCCTACCACGAATTATCCTTGGGTCTGAAGCCAGAAACTGAATACATTAATTTGTTCCTACCACGAATTATCCTTGGGTCTGAAGCCAGAAACTGAATACATTAATTTGTTCCTACTACGAATTATCCTTGGGTCTGAAACCAGGAACTGAATACATTAATTTGTTCTTACCACGAATTATCCTTGGGTCTGAAACCAGAAACTGAATACATTAATTTGTTCCTACACGAATTATCCTTGGGTCTGAAGCCAGAAACTGAATACATTAATTTTGTCCTACCACAAATTATCCTTGGGTCTGAAACCAGAAAACTGAATACATTAATTTGTTCCTACCACGAATTATCCTTGGGTCTGAAGCCAGAAACTGAATACATTAATTTGTTCCTACCACGAATTATCCTTGGGTCTGAAGCCAGAAACTGAATGCATTAATTTGTTCCTACCACGAATTATCCTTGGGTCTGAAGCCAGAAACTGAATGCATTAATTT